ACAAACTAGTAATGTTGACTTGTCATTCCGCATGAGCATCCTGCTGAGAATTCAACAGCACAGAAACAGCCCTTCCCAGGTCTGTCCTTCAGAGACAGCCGTAGATTCCAGCCTAGAGCACACCATCAGATCCTACTGTCATTCCATTACACCTGCTTTCTTAATGACACATAGTCAGTCACCTTCAGCCTAATGACAAATTGGAAGAACAGGTGCCAGTGTCACTGGCCAATGTGAGGACTTCAGCGTTTAACTTTGAAACCTGTCTATTAAAAAGATGCTTGCCAAGAAAGAGCTCACACACTATGTCAATAGTAGGGATTTTTCACTGTGGTTCAAAATGGGACAATTAAGCCAGACACGGAGGTGTGTACCAGAAATACTACTCTGCAGGAAGCAGAGGCAAGAGCATCGATAGAGTTTAGGAGTTCAAGGCCACCCTGGAGGAACATAGCTAGACCCTATCTATCGCTAACTAAAATGAGCAGATAAAAACAGTATGTGTTCACATGCTCACTTGCTTTTAGTTATAAACATCTTAAAAGTGAGGATGCAACCTTTCAAAGCCATTCCCATCAAACGGTTTTTAAAACAGGCTAAAAAAATAAACAGCCCCTTCTACAAGCCATATTGTCTTTAAGAAAAGAAAGATGGCCAGGCGTTGGTGGCACATGCCTTTAATCCAAGCTCTCGGGAGGCACAGGCAAGTGAATCTCTGTGAGTTTGAGACCAGCCTGGTCTACAGAGCAAGTTCCAGGACAGCCTCCAAAATAATACAGAGAAACCCTGTCTTGAAAAACAAAAAACAAAAGAAAAAGAAAAGAAAGATGTAGTTGGGATACACACCTAGAATCCCAGTATTTGGGAAGCTGGGACCAACAGGATAGTGAATTTGAAGCCGAGAGAGAGAGAGAGAGAGAGAGAGAGAGAGAGAGAGAGAGAGAGAGAGAGAGAGAGAGAGAGAGAGAGAGAGAGAGAGAGAGTATTGAAGGAGGTGTTAGATCAAAATGTAAAAAAATAAGATCTCAAAGTACAAGGAGAACATGATTTCAGAGAAGACCTTCTATGATGTACAGGCAGCTCTCTTAGCTTTCCCAGACACTGAAGGCTGGAAGCCTTGCTGTCCTGCAGAGCTCTGTGTAAAGACATGACAAGGGTGGCTTATTCTATGGGCACACCTGTACTTTGATCTTTTGCAAGGGACTTCCTGGGAGGCCAAATGAGCCACTACCTGTGGCAGTTTCCTTCTTGGACTAGCCACTAAGTGTCTATGGCTAGCAGGCAATTGGCCATCACTGCAAATGACTCGTAGAAGGGACACACTGGGTTAAGGAGGAGGCGGTAAGCCATCCACATCCTGGATTAGCAATGGTTCACTTCACCCAATTTGTTCTTTGCCCTCACCACAGAATCAACTCTAGTAACAGCACACCACCGACGGTCACTATACAGCTAAAGAACTCATCAAAATGCCTTGAACAACCTAGACTCGGAGTATTGGTGACAGCACTCTCTCCTGAATAAAGAAAATGATGTTTTTAACCCATTTTCAACATCAGGTTTGGCTATGTACTTATTTATTTATTCTACCTTTTAAGGTAATATAACCTCCATTGTAATTAGATCCAGAACGTTTTGTTTGCTTGCTTTTTAAATCATCCTACATGGGCTGGAGAAGTGGCTCAGTGATTAAGTGTGCTCAAGGACACAAGATCAATGCACAGCATCCCTTTCAGGCAGCTCACAACCATCTGAAACTCCAGCTCCACGGCATCTGAGGCCCTCTTCTGGCCTCTACAGGCATCAATGTTCGCATTATCACAAATAAATACAAATAAAATCTTCTTACACATTTACAACCATTGCTAAAGTTTCCTGTTGTTTATTCTGCCTCCCACCTAAATATTATTTTATCTATAAAACAACCCATTGTATGGATACACTTAAATTTACATATCCATCTCTCTGGTTAGATGCTATCTAATGTTCAATTATTTATGATGCATTCACTTTTTGTTTGTTTATTCTTGTTTTTTCCAGACAGGGTTTGTCTGTGTAACAGCCCTGGCTATCCTGGAACTCACTGTATAGACCAGGCTGGCCTCGAACTCACAGAACTCCACCTGCCTCTGCCTCCCGAGTGCTGGAATTAATATGCATTACACTTTAAAGAGCACATTTGTGCCAAATTGACTTCTGTATGTCAAGCGTTTCCTTTAAAAGCATATTCATAGAGTTAAAATTACTTTGGGTGCATTGCTCAGGTAAATAAACCAGTGGAAAATTCTTAATAATGATGCTGTCGCAGAGTTCCCATTCGTTTTGGTGTTAAATTCTTGACATTTCATTTGTCGTACTGAAAAGCCACACTGCCCGTCATCTTGGATTCTTCTCCAGGACTTTGCTCAGGGCCATCCTTGCTTCCCTCATCCTCCTGTCTCAGCTGCAGAGCTAGGCTCACCCTCCAAGGTATCAAGTTTACTTTCGGTTGCAGTGCTATAACACTGACCAAAACAGACTCAGGAAGGAAAGGGTTTACAGACCTACACGTCCCAATCACAGTCCATCAATGAGGGACGCCAGGGTGGAAACTCAAAACACTGACTATGGAGCAATGTTGTTCACTGGCTTGCTCCTCAAGGCTTGCCCAGCTTGCTCTCTTATACAATCCAGGACCACATGTCTAGGGGTGGGTAGCACCACCCACAGTGGGCTGGGCCCTTCCACATCAATCATAAATCAGGACAACGCCCCACAGACTTACCACAGACCATCCTGATGGAGGCACTTTCTAGGTGAAGGTTTTCCCATCCCAGATGGCCCTGGCTCCCAGTTGGCAACACACTAAGCTGCACCCGTCTTACACAGCCTCACTGTTGGGAGTTTGATTTCTATTTTCTTTTGCTTCTGTTTGCTTTTATTCACCCACCAAACTTGTCCTGACACACTAGGTTCTATTAACCCTGCTTTTCAAAATATGTCAGTCATGTTTATTTTCCTTGCATGCTTCTTGGAATATGAGCGCTTCAGTGACTTAGGACTTATTTAACTAACAGCCCCCATCCAAGATGCCTAACCATCCTGTGACCAACTTTCTAACTTTTGCTTTTGCAGGAGGCATTTTGTTTTGCTTTAGAATGACCTGCAAGTTCCTGGTCAAACTCTGGTCTCACTGAAGTTGTTCTCTGTGAAAACCCCTTCTCCAGAAGAGCAGCCAGTCACTCTGCCCTCTCGCCTTTTGTTTGCATAAAACACACAACTTTCTTACTTTCCCCCACAGTTTTGACACTGTTTCCATGAGGAGATGACTCAATATGTAGCTGAGGCTGCCCTCCATGTCTCAGTCTTCCTGGTCAGCTTCCTCTTTGGAGGGCTGGGATTGCAGGTGTGCTCCACCATGCCCTGTTCTAGATGGTTTTTAAAGGAGTTCAAAATCATGGTTGAGTGGTTCCTATTTTTTCCTCATACATCTCTTTTTTTAATTCTATCACATGAACAGATTTAGGTCAAACATACAAGTCTAATTGCTTACTAGTGTAAAGTCCAAAAAAATATACACACTACAAAATACAATGTTAAATCACATATATAGAGTATTACATATATGAATATGTATTATGTAATATATATACATACATATAGATATACATATATATATATATATTCACGAAATCATCAAAGTAGAGATAGTAAAAGCAATCCCAACTGGCTGCTTCCACATTTTTACTAACTACTTCCACTATTTCTACTAACATTTGTTTATTGTTCTTAGTCAGAACCAGCACTGCACCTAAGGGAGCAACAGGAACAGCCAAAGATTCAAGACAAATTTAGGAAATGAATGGAGAGATGAGGAAGAGTCCAAACTGAAAACTCAGACCTGAACATAGTGGTCCACACTTAGAGTCACAGCACACAAGAGTCTGAGGCAGGAAGGCCTCAAGTTAGAGGCCAGTCCCGACAGCTAAAGATGACCCTCTTTGAAAAAAGAAATCACTGAAGTCCAATTATAGGAATCCCATAGGGCCTGATTTGAGGCTCTAATCATGAAAAGATAAGCATTATGGGGTTAAGGCCTGATATAAAGAATGTGGGCAGCCTAGATATCCTTCCAAGACCATCTCTCCCTTGTTTCATTCCAGGTAGACGTGGGCTGGCCAACTCCTCCTCCTGAGGCTGGGTGAGAATTGAGATCCTGCCTCATCTCCTGCCTGGGGGATGCATGCACTTCACTGCTCTCCAAGGCCCAGACTGAATTGCAAGCATGTATTCTATGGTATATAGGAACCTTTTACTTGAATTTATGATCAGAGTGTAAACAAATGACTGTCAGATCACTCTAACTCATGAAATAAGTTATTACACCTCACTATCTTAGGGGAATGGCCCTATATTCCCTCAGACATACACAAGTCACTAGATATCAGAATCCCTTATATCGAGTGAGTGGTATCAATTCTGCATGTAGCCATTTTTTCCCAATGTACCTAAGATCTTGCACACACTGTGTGAGTGTTCCAACATGGGGCTGCTAACACAGGTTCAACCCTTTCTTATTTTAATTTCAATACAGGGTCCCACTAAATTGTTACCTTGGGCTCACCCACAGCCCAGATATGCCTTGAACTTGCAACCTTCTGTCTTAGCCTCCAGGTACCTGAGATCGCAGACCTGAATCCCCAGGTCCAGCTTTCCATGTTCTTTAAATCAACTCTGGATTGTTTATAATACCTACTACCATGTCAGTGCTTTGCAGAGTCATTATGCTGCATTGTTTAGGGGATCATGGCAAGAGAAAAGGTCTATATGTGTTCTGTACAGTGCAATGTTCTTCCAGTATTTTCCGGTTAGGTGGAACTAGGTATCTGGGATCTACAGATAACCTTGAAAAGAAAAAGAAGATCCCCTTTTCTCTTTACAGTTACTGTTCCTGACGGAAGACAGCATAGCATGTGTTGACATGTAAACATACATGGTTTGCCTTGAAGAAGGAAACTCACCAAGTGGTGTAGGGTAGATGGGAGAAGCGGTGTTCTCACTCGGTTCTCCTTTCTCAGTTTCCCAATAGTGAACCACACGAGAGAATTACCTATTCAGGAAGCAAATTGTATTTTAGCATTCTAAAGCAATGTCACGGGAGATTCTGGAAGCTCAGTAAACGCTAATTCAAATCCATCTACTTCTCGGGAGAGTAAGTGGTGGGCACAGGGAGACATTTACCCTACGTAAGCTAGCTAAGGGAACACACCTTCATGTAGCTACCTTCTAGGCATATTATGCTTTTACTATAACATTCCTTCGGCCCTATGACTCTTCTTGGGGGGCTAAGGGCTCAGAGAGCTTTCCCCAACTCAGAGCCAAGTGGAAAAATCACCATGTGCACCCCGTATGGCTGAAGCAGGAAAAAAACAGCAAGAGAACATGCACACTGAGTTTGCTCCCTAATTCTGAGAATCCAGCCTAAGTTTGGTGTTTTAGATCTACATAGAAGGAATAGAGAGACAGAGACAGAAACAGAGAGACAGAGAGAGATCAGAGAGGTGACCTAATAGTTGATCCTACTTGTAAATGCTAGCTTGCCTCTGACCTGAACCTGTGCTAACCCAGAGGTCCTCACTGTGCATTCCCAGGGCCCCACTGCCCTCATACTTCTTCACATAGCTGGGTTATGACTTGGCTCAATGTCTCTCTGAAAGTGCTCTTTGCATCTGCAACTTTTAAGTTGACGTTCCTCCTTAAACCTGCAAACCTGATCTGGTTTCTGATCATCTACCGGGCCGTCATGGAGCCAACAGACCCCTGTCTGCTATTGAAGCTTCCTTTCTCGACTTGTGTTGTCCTTCTGCAGGTGCACCATTGTCATCATGTCCCTCTCCTCACCATCTCAGCTGGCCTGTGCTCACTCCTATGAAGACCAGCAGCCTGGGCTTATAGGGTAGGATCAGAACTAGGCATTCCAGGCTCCAAGGAGCCTGCAAGTTGCTTCCTGCTGCTCAAGGCATCTTGACAGGAGTCCGGTATCTGCAGAAGTATAGCCCATCATACTACTGTAGCCTCCAAATCCACTGTTCATGGAGGCATAGCAGTGGTAGGTGCATGGTGACCAGTATCAGAGCAGGGCAGTGGATGCCTTAAAAGCACACTGTGGGTATTCCTAACATGTGTCCATCACAGGGCCTAGACAGCTGTGGGGATGGTCCCAAAACCAACAAGCCCTGGAACATGCTGGTGCACTTGGACAATAGGGCAGCAGGAACAAGGCAGATCCCAGAACCCAGCATCCAGCCAATGAGCCTTCGGATTAGGCTCCAGCAGGAACACATACAGCACCAAACAGAAAACTGAAAAAGACACCCAGGAGTACAGGCCAAGAGGACACTGAGGGTGGCGATGAGGGTGAGCTGCCTGCTTCCTCCCAAGCTTGAACCGGTCTGTCACCTGCCAGCTGATGGCTGTGCAGCTGCCGTCACACCTGTGCCCACATCAACAATGCGTCAAGACCTGAGATGCTAAGCGGGGCCTGCCAGCTGAGGAACTACAAAGCACAGGGTTAAAAAAAAAAAAGACAGCAAAGCTCCTCTTACACTGACATTATCATCATCACTAAAAACAAAGGCAGTGAGCACGCGCTACCCCTGAGGATGCCCCTCTATTTCACCATTCACTTTCCGGCCCTCTGGCTAAGTCAATGTTCCTTGAATGAGGTTCAGTGCCATTGTAGGACCCTGGGATTTAGTGCTCCTTCTTCCCAGAAAGTTCTTGCCCTCAGCACTTCCTCCTGTCATTTTCACTCAACTGCCTCAGCCAGTCCTACCAAATTATCATTACAAATCCCTCCTCACCATACTCTCTCATCATAGACACAATGAGGGCTGGGGAGGGGGCTAGGCCCTGCCCCAAATGATGTAACAAACTTTGATGATCCCCCATGGAAGGCCTCACACTCCCTAGGGAGCAGAAGGGAGATGGGCATGGGAGGGTGGAGGGAGAAAGAACTGGGATTGATATGTAAAATAAAATTGTTTCTAATTTAAATTAAAACACGAAAACAAAAAAAATAAAGAAAAAGGAAAAAGAAAAACAAATCCCCCCCTCTCCACCCAGAACTGTCTCCTTGCCCTGCTCTTTCATAGCATGTGTGACATGGCCATTCCGTGTTTTTTACTGTGTTGTCTCCATCACCAGAAGACATGTGATGAAAAGCCCAGGAAGGCCCAAGTAAATGCAGAAGAGAAATGACAGTCACAAGCAGAGCATACCTTTGGCCACTTCCCCTCTTGCTATTACACCACTGTCGCTTCTCAACCAGTACCAGACCTGGCATTTTCCTTCCGGTTTCCTGCTTCTTTGGTCTCCCCTTTCTCAAGACTTCTGTGGTATTGTCTAGTCTACATGAAAGTTCATACCAGCTGTGCTCCCTCCTCACTGGGCTGCTAAGGAAATTAAATGAGATAATTCACCCTCAGAAAAGCACCAGGCTAGTGACTCAGCCCTTCTTACATGCCATGTCCAACAAATCACATCCAATGTACATATATATTGTTGCATATCTTGACTCAATCCGTATTTCTGCAGCTACCATGCAAACAAACCCAGGGCAGAGATCTTATCCTGCATTTTGGAAATCCCCAGAATTCTTATTACAAACTATTTTTCTTGGCACATATTTATTTTATTTTATTTATCCTTTTATGGGTGATGATGATGGTGGTGGTTCTAGAGATTGAACTAGGGCACTTAGTTCAATCTTCAGTTTTTAGTAATTGCTTAAAACAAAACAAAATGTTCACCTTTTAAAGATCCAGTGAAAGCCCCTAGAAACTCTATTTAAACAGTGATTCCCAGCCTTCCTTGTTCCAGGACTGACCTGGTATGCAAACACAGCAAATCCTTGAAAATAGCATTTATAATAGAAACTGTGCTACAGCACAAATACCAAAGCCAAAATACTATATAAAAGATCAAACAAATATTGACTCAAAGAATTTTCCCCAAGGCAACTGTTATAGTCTTATCTTGAATAGAATGTTTGCACAGTTAATTAAGTATTACTGTGGACTCAGCAAGATCCTAGGCAGCCCCTGCCAAGCTGAGCTTCGTATCCTACCATCTTATCACTGTTTACAGAGCCTCACAGGAATCCCTCTCCTTCTAGCCCCTCACCTAGCAGTGAGGCTAATGCTGGGTGTGGGACTCGGTGATAAGTAAGTCATACACCTTTTATGCGTGGACCAAAGATAATGGAACTCCAGTGCCATAGATCCCATTTGCCTATCCCACGGCAAATATGCTCTGTCATTACCTCCCAGAAATCCACAGGCTTTGTCCATTACCACCTGTTGACTTCCTGGAAAAGTATGAAAGACCAGAAATGTATGTACAGCAAGAGCTGCTACTGGATTCGCTGAATAAACTTTTAAACCCCAACTCCAACTGAGAGCTTACTTCCTGTCACTGCTAACAGTGACACTGCTAACATTGCTTGAAGACGGGAACCTCAAAAGCTCACCTCAACATCTAGCCCGTTCTGCATAATGAATGGGCTGACTGCCAGATAATTCTGTGTCTAAGCTGTGGAGGTCAGCGATGACAGATGGGAGCCAACAAATGTCACTTGGTACTTTTTCTCCCCCTCCTTATATTCACGGGGCGCTTTTGGTGCTCTGCATAATAGAATCTGGTTGGGACTAAAACTCTCAACTCTACCCTGCCCCTAGGAAGAGTGTGTTGGATGCATTCAAGTGTGAGACCGGAAGTGGTCAACGAGACAACTAAGATAACTTATATCATTTGACATCGGTAAGTCCAAAGAAAAGAAGAGAGAGGAGAGAGTCAGGCTATGAGACGTGGAAGGCCCCCAGGGCAGGACCGGTATCACAGACGGCTAGCCATGGGCATATTCTGTAGGAAGCCACTATTTGGGCCCGAAGGAAAGGGAACGATCTCACAGACACGTGGGGAAGACCATTCCAGGCAGAAGAAATGTTCACAGCAACGTCCTGCAGCAGACCATAGCCAGCAGGCTGGAACACGGAGGAGGTGGAGCCCAGTGTTTAGCATCAGGGACGGAAGAGGAAGGAAGCAAGAAGAACAGAGGAAGGACACAGAGCCTTGCTGCAAGGCGTGCTCCATTCTACCAGTCACAGAAAGCCACCCATCTACAAATTTTCATTTATTCAGAACCCTAATGGTTACTTTCCCAGGAATGTATACATCCATACTTCAAAAGAGCAACTGGGGATGGGGGGCTAAAAGAAAGTTACACATCAAGTTAACATGTTTGCCTGGGGGTAAATCCTAAACTCCTTTGTATACGAATGCAAACTGTTCAGGCTTTGACCAGAAACCTCCAGAGCTAGGAGCAGGTGTGACAAACAAAGCAGCTGTGTGCACCCCAGGGAACCACACACCCCGCCAATGCTACACAAATATGGCGTCACATTGTAGTTTAAAAAAAAAAAAAGATAACCTGCAGTCATGGGAGACAGGAATATTGAAATTCACCATATGGGCATTTTAAAAGTGTAGCAAGGCTTCAAGATCTTGGTAAACTTCAGAGCCAAGCTGGCTCATGCAATATACAGACTATACATCCTCCCTGCCCAACCAGCTTCTCAACATAGTAAGACATTATCAGCTAAGGTCTTCAGCACAGCCTGGGTCGGGATGGTATCTGAAGATCTGTTATCAGCCATCATTTCTACCCAGTCCCGATTAACCCAGTTTCGTAGTTGGTATAAACAGTGTTCCATTAACAAATGTTCCTAAACAGCTCTAAAGTAGTGACTCCACTTATGTGTACATAGTCCCTCACCAAGATGACAGGTGTGGACTGCAGGGCATGGCCTGGAGCTTGTGTAACAAAAAGATGATCTTATTAATGACTCATTAGACACAATCCTTCCCACTGAGCTTGCCCAAGGCCACTCCCCCAATCAACCCACAAAATGGACAATTTTGTTTTGCTGGGTCTCTTCCTTGCTCTCCCAGGAAGCTATCAGGAAATTCAAAGAAGTCACAGAGGATAAACTGATCTAAATAATAGCCAACTTGGAGAGAAGAAGTTCCTGAAACTTCAGAAAAGTAGGG